CTTAGAAGATCAACTTACAAATACAAGATCTAACCTCCTAGCTCAACATCCGCTCCAGAAATTCCCGGTAGAGGTTGGTCCAGGAAGCAATAGACATCATCCATATCATGAGAAGTTCTGGCTAAAAAATCAGCTAATCCTATATGTTCCCTGCTAGTGTAACTAAGACTAACCTGCCAGTCTCGATGGAGCAATAATCTAGTATCATCAATCAAATCTTTAAAAGGATAATCGACATTGCATCCTCTCAAGATCAGATTGATTGCCTCTATACAGTCAGATTTAACAATTATTTTCTTGAGATTCTTAGACCAACAAACATTTAAGCCATACAAGATTGCAAACACTTCCGCCAAGGCTGAGGGAACTGAGACAGTCTTGCATTGAAAACCACATAACCAGCTCCCTTCTTTATTTCGGAGGACCCCTCCACACACGCTTCTTCCATCCCGAAGAACTAATCCATCCACCTCCAAGTAAGCACATTCCCCATTGTTAGTATTGACCTCTGGAGGTATCTGTTTGTTGTTGCTGAAGAAGGTACATCTTTCCACTAGTTCCTTGTCCAAACTGGCTCTGAAGAAGCTATCATTAGCAGTAGTCTATAAGATGGCCTGTGATGGATTGAAAAGTTTCTCACATCTTGATACCCAAATGTCCTAGCAGATGTAACCAAATAAATATTTCTATTGAAGCTTCTTAGTGTGCTCTTTTCCAGCTTCTGTTTTAAATTCCACCTGATCCATCTCTCTCCCTACATGTTTATGAAGTCTTCCCACATTGAATCATCTACTACTGATTTCCAACAATCTATAGCATTGATACAATCCCTGATCATATGCATGGCATCTTCCCTGTTGCGACAGTTAAATGGACATGATGGTTCCTCTAGCATCCCTCTGTGCGCTCTCATCTCTGCTGTGTGCACTCGGTTGTGAGCTAGTAACCAGAGGAAGGTTTTAATTTTCTCCGGTCTTGGCCATTGCCATATGAGTCACCACACGCTATCCGCCCGTTCTTGTGTACCTGCAAGGATAAAACGATATGCAAACCTAACAGAAAAAAGACCATCCGTGGATGGTTTCCAGAAAATTTTATCCTCCCCTCTCTGCTCACGGGGTGGGTGAGCACGAGTAATTTGATCAATGATATCATGAGGGAACTAGACATTGAGTTTTCTTCTATCCCAGTCTCCCTATTCCATTAGATAATCCACCACTTTATCATCTCTATTAATAAATGGTTCTCTTCCTGGAATATAATGAATTAGTGGAGCATTTATTTCTGACCAGTTCTCAAACCAAAAGGAGGTATTCCTTCCATTCCCTATCTTCTTAGCCAGCCCCTGTTTAAATTTCATCCAAACGTTGCTGATCGCTTTCTAAGTGAGGGATGAGTTTTGCCGCTTTTCCACCTTCGGTATTATATCTGTCCCGCACCCATATCTTGCTCATAGTACTCTAACCCACAAGGCTTCTTTGTCTTGAATCATTTTCCAGCACAGCTTCATTATGAAAGCTTCATTCTGGGCTTTCAGATTTTTTATTCCCAGTCCCCCTTCATTCTTTTCCTCTGTAATTTGGTCCCAAGCCACCAAATAGAGCTTCTTTTTATTTTCCTTATCTCCCCAGAGAAAACCTCTGCTCATCTTCTCTATTTCGTTCAGCAAGCATTTAGGCAGTGAAATGGTTTGCATATGATAAGAGGGAATTGTACTAATAATTGTTTTGATCAGAGTGGCTCGACCTGGAAGGGTAAGCATTTTCTTTTTACACCCTGAAAGTTTGCCCACTATCTTCTCTAAAACTGGTGCAAAAAGGGCGAAGGAGGCCCTCCTGTGAACAAGGGGAATTCCCAAGTATTTCCCTACATCTCCTGTCAATCCAACTCCTATTATTTGGCTCAGCTGGCTCACTCTGGAATAATGAACATTTCTTGAGAAGCACATTTTCGTCTTAGTTCTATTCATTTTTTGACCCGAAACTGTGCAGAAATTTTCAATACATTCCAGCATTACTTCTACCTATTTAGTGGAGGCTTGCCCGAAGAGGATAAGGTCATCAGCAAAGAATAGGTGTGATATGGGAGGCCCACCTGAGTTTAGGTAGATAGGTGTCCACTCCCCTTCTTCTATAGCATCATGAATAATGTGATTAAGTCTTTCCATGCAAAGTGTGAAGATATAAGGGGATATGGGGTCCCCTTGCCTTATGCCCCTTGATGGGGAAAATTCTTCTGATTCCTCCCCATTCCACATGACTTTGAAGGAAGGGGTGGTAATGCACATCATGATTAACGTACACATCTTTTCCTCTAATCCCACTTTCCTTAAAGTGTCATGGATGAAGTTCCATTCTAGCCGGTCATAAGCTTTTTCAAGGTCCACTTTCACCACCAGCCAGCCTTTCCTACCTTTTTTAGCTTTCATCGCATGGATCACCTCTTGAGCTACGATGATATTGTCACTGCTTTATCTCCCTACTATGAAACTACATTGATGGTTACCCACTACTTTTCCCATAATAGACCTCAGCCTCTTGCTAATAACCTTTGTAATCATCTTGTAACTCACATTACATAGGGATATTGGCCTGAAATCTTTTATGCAGCTTGGAGTCTCCTATTTGGGAATGAGAATCAGATTTGTTTTGTTTAGAAGGTGTATTCTGTGAGGATTAGTGAACATATTCTTGACCATTTGGCAGATGTGATTCCCTAGGATGTTCTAGAATTCCTGGTATAGAAATGCTTGTATACCATCCGGACCTAGAGCTTTAAAGGCACCCATATCAAAAACTGCTGCTTTTATCTCTTCATTATCCACTTCCTTTTCCAACCATCTTTTATCCATATCCGAAATAGGAGGAAAGGATGAAGATGTTTGGAGATTTCTGGCCGTGTCTTCATTGCTGGTGAAGAGGGTTTTATAGAAGGTAAGAGCTATCTGTTTCAGTTGCTGTTGATTAAACACCCACTCTCCATTGGAATCTTGCAGCCCATCAATTCGGTTCTTTCTTCTTCTTGTCAAGGTAGAGGCGTGGAAAAAATTGCTATTTCTGTCTCCCCACTTAAGCCAATTGCACCTTGACTTTTGATACCAAAGAAGTTCTTCTTGAGCTATTACCTTATTGTACTCCTTCCAAAGCTCCTTCTCTGTTTGTATCAGGAATTGGTTGTCCCTTCTACTTCGGGCCCTATCAATCCCCTCTATTCTCCTCATAAGGTTTTTCTTCTTCCTCGGTAAATTCCCTATTTTTCCTTTGTTCCATTCCTCAGCTTGTTTTGTAAAGTTTTCAACATTGTCATTCCAATCCTTATGAGCCCATGAATTTCTGATGATCTCTGAGAAGTCCTCCTCTAAACACCAACCTGCTTGGCATTTGAAAGCTGGTTTTCTTGTTTTCCTAGGCTGTTTATGAGCATTCCTTACCAATAGGGGACGATGATCTGACCCAAACTTGGGTAAATGATACACCTTCGCAAAAGGGAAGATCTGAATCCACCTTTTGTTAGTGAATGCCCAGTCAATTTTCTCCTTCATTCCATTTCTCTCCCAAGTAAAGTGGTCTCCAACAGTGTCCATTTGCAAGAGTTGGGTCTTAAAGATACATTCATTAAACTTTCTCATGGAAGCAACATTGTGGCATTTACTTCCTATTTTATCTTCCATATTTAGATAGGAGTTAAAGTCCCCAATCACTAACCAAGGTCCCTGTATAGATTTGCTCAAGCTCTCTAAATCTTCCTAGAGAAACTTTCGAAGGGCGTGGTTGGGTTCAGCATAAACACTGGTTAGCAATAAAGAGGTGCCATCGTTCTTTCTAGTTACCTTGACGTGGAGGAGTTGAGTAGTAGATTGAACATACTCAATTGTGAGTTCTTCCTCATTCCACAGCATCCAAATTCCTCCTGCATATCCAGTAGCCTCAAGTCGAATCCAATTGTTGAAGCCAAGACGCCTAATCATTGTATCAGCTTTCGTACCACTTACTCTTGTTTCGAAGAGTATAAGAATTTGCACCTCACGACCCCTAACTAAGTCTTTAACTCTAATAGGGAAAGACTTGGAGGTAGCGCCTCTATAATTCCATGCTATTAAATTCATAATAGTGACACGAGGAGAAATGGGATAAGGCGGCCTACTGTCTCGCAGTCCCACCATCTTCCATGATTCCACCTCCACTTTCCTCTCCAACTGCTTCAGAAGTTTCATACCAATAATCATGGTTTTCAGTTGCTTCTTCCTCAAACTCCAACTGTCGAGATATTTGAACTATATCTGGTGGATCTCTAGGTTGAGGCATTAAGTGTTCCTTCAAATTTACATTTAATAGTTCTCGGTGGTCTCTTGAGGAAACAGGTGACATATCATGAAAAGTGGCTGGGAGTGACTGGGGTATGTTTGTTCCTTGCCTAATACTCACATTTGGGCCCTCTCCAGTAATCGACCCAATGATCAACTTATGGGCTCTAGATACTTGCTTTCTTTTAAGGATAGGTGAGATAATCTTGGGCCGTTGGTGATTTCCTCTTTTGACTCCAATGGCCTTTTTCTCTTTCCCACTATTTCTCATTGTTGGTTTGGGCTTCAAAATGTTTTCGTTAGGGTTTTTGGTGGGACCCATCTCCTTTTTTCCTTCCACTATAACCTCTGGTCTTTCCCTTTCTGTCATAAGGTCGTCTGCGTCCTGCATCTACTTAGCCGTCCTGCTACTCTCTCCTTCTTCCATAATGGTATGCTCACTGGCCAGCTTTTTCCCTACATTTTTTAACTTATCATCTATCTTAGAGGCCTTCTCAGTTTTCCTCCTCTATTCTATCATGCCAGGTCTGTTTTTACGTGCTGGTAAGTTGTCTGTTGATTTGACCGTTCCCTCTTGTTCCTTAAGAATGTCAAAATGTGACCCTGGAGCATTGGTAGGCTCTTTCCCTTTTTTGTGAATGCCTATTCCCCCTTTAGCTTGATTGCCCCTGTCTGTTTCACCCTTTTGAGTTTTTGATCATAAAGTGTGTTTTGCTTTCATCCATGTTCCGTACTCTTCCTCTAACGTCACCCCTGGCATGCTAAACAAGGCTTGCTTGTCGTCTTCCTTCAGCTCCGGCATCGACTCCTTGTTTTCCGGCAGGTTTTGTTTTCCTTCTTTAGGCTCTGTTCGTCTCTCCATGTTCAGAGGACAGATTTCCAGCTTGTGACCATATCTTCCACACTTAAAGCAAATTTCTTCTAGCCCCTCATACTCTACTGTGAACATTCTCTTTCGAAGCATAAATCTCGATTGCAACTTCCTGTTCAGATCTATTTCTACACTTACTCTGGCGAACTTCCCTCTTTCCACCGTAGCCATATTCCTCGTGTTACACTACGCTAAGGTGTTCATATCCACTTTCAGCGACTTTCTGATCAGATTACCCCGCTCCCACATGCACTCCTCCGAATACATGTGCATCAGTAATGTAGGGACTCTTACCCAAATAGCAACTTTGTGAACCCTATTGCAGTAGGGGTTGAAGTTAGGACTCCAACGTTGCACTACCAAATAATGCCCTTGAATAAGCCAGGGTCCATCGAATAGCAATCTTCGATTTAGTTCTAGATTATCAGTGCGAAACACAAAATAATTGTTTGGAAGATCAATGAGTTTGAATTTGTTTGTTCTCGGTAGCCATCCTACTCTGTCTTTCATTACCTGCAGGCTTGTTGTCTTGCCTAACACGGTTAGAATTAGAGCATTTTTCCAGGGTCTGCACAGCTCTTTCAGTCTCTCATCGCTGATATTGAGTCTAGGTAGGCTTCCTAAGAGTTCCTTTTCTGCTTCTATCAGTAGAGGGGCTAATTCCTCTTCCTCTCTCAACCATTGTATCATCAGTCCATCAAGGTCTTTGTCTTCACAGTGCTGTGTCTCGCCTCCCATTAGTTTCTCCTTGTAGGATATAGGAGATTTAAAAGTTCCTTTCTCCTCTCGCTGCTTCCTGGTCTCGTTTTGTTCCCCTTCCCTGTCTAAATTCTTGTTTCCTTTCTCTTTCCTCCCTGCAGCGTCTTCACCATCGGGGTCTTGCTCCTCCATGTGGATATCTCCATCCATCTTCTTTATGTTTCTTCCCATCAGGTCATCCTCTTCTTTCAATTTCTTGCCATTTTCCGTGTCACACCTTACTTATATAGTACCTTAGCAGTCATTTAGAATCATTCTAGACCCCTTTGGATGGTCTTAAGCTTAAAAATTTCAATTTGGACGTTAATTTTCGAAAAATTACTGTTTACTGTCCAGTTTTTAGATTACAGGTCCAACTTTGAAAAATCATAACTAATTCTAGAAAAAATCGTATGGAGGTGTTCCAAAATTCTACGGAAAGCTCTTTCAATGCTCTCTAAGGGAAAAATACTCAATTGGACTTATTCTTGCCCAATTCGTACAGTTTATTGGATTAAGATTACTATTTGTTTGGTAAAATCTGGACTCTCCAGATTCTGTGCCTTAACTTTGAAAACTCATATCTCTTTGTATACACATCCAAATGAGGTGATTTACCACTCATTTTGAAGCTTGGGATGTGCACTATAAGTCTGCCAAATCTCGTGATTTAACTCATTCATTTGATAGGTCAAACTGAAGCTCAAAACTAACTGCTTCAGGACCTACGTTTTATCCTTTAATATCTCCTTACTTTAATTCTTTTTATTTCTTTGACATACATAGCATGGGCTTAATCTTTCTCATTCATACTCATATACTTTCATTCATGCCATAAACATCCTAAGCATATACATTGAAGTAATGGCATTCATAACATAATTTACAGCATAGGAGAATTATACATTGAATATTAATATCATTCATTTGCATTAATAATTCTCCACTTCTTCTCCTTGCTTCTCATGCCATTAGTGCCCATCATTGATTGACCTAAATGGTTGGTTAGGAAGGGGGTGAGATTCGGGGGAATCTCAGTAGCAAACAATACCATATTAATCATGCTAAATGGATGCTCATGCACTACACGCAACTTGTTTATTCTCTTGTTAATTAGTGACATACTAGCATGCTCAAAGCTAACTTCTTGATGCATGGCCATGGAGACATAATCTACTCATCATGAATAGCAATCACAGCAGCTAAAACATGTCACAATAACATTCAATAACATGTACACGGCAACACACAAGCATACAACATCAAGCAATGACAATAGGTAAGTTCACTACCTTGCACCTCAAGCCTTCCTCTTACTTTTCCTTTGACTCCCTTGACTTTCCAACCATGTTAGCTTTTGGTCAACATCATCAAACATCCTCTTAGATGTTTCAAGATCCTAAACATAATCACATTGGTCACACAACCCATTAGGACCAAGAGATTACATAAAGTTCAAGACTAGCTTTCTTGAACCTCAACCCTTTCTCTTAGTCTTAGAGTTTTCTTTCTAGCTTTTCTAACATAAATCTCATCATTTCCCATCCTTATGATCCATTTCTTGTCAATTAGGACCACTTTAGATGGCTTTAGATTCAAGAATATCAAATCTGGAAATTTTGGTTCGCGGGTACTGTTCACGCAGAATCTCCAGAATTTTTGATCAACTTTCAAAATTCATAATTAAATCTAGAAAAATCAAAATTGAGTGCTTCCAAGTCTCACTGAAAGATAATTAATTTAAATTTAAAGGAAAAATATTTTCAGGAACGAATTCTACGCAGAACAGTACCAGAATTGTACGGAACTTGACAGTCTCCCAAAAGTTCAACACTGTTTCCAGATTTCAAATCCTAAATTTGAAAAATCACCATAAATCGTACACATATCCAAATGGAGTGTTCTATCCATGGATTTAAAGCTCACAGAGTGTACTTTAAGCATGCAAAATTTCAGAATCAGACATGCACAGTAACTAATTCGAAATAGGTATCAAATCAGATGCTACAGCCACCACATACCTTGATCTTGAAGCTTGAACTTTGTTCCTTCTTCTTGGCCTTCACCCCTACGTTTTTCTCTCTAAATTTTGGCAGAGTTTCCCCTCTTAAACTCATATTGGCTGAAAATATGAAGGGGAAGAGGCTCTATTTATAGCCAAAAAAGTTGGCTTGAATGGACCAAAATGCCCTTGGTGGCTAATAGAAAGGGTAAGGGCAAATTTGGAAGTTCAAGTGGACTTTTGCATCATCATTGCATCATCTTATTACATCATGCTTACCTCAACCTTCTAGAAGATGCCAAGTGTCATGAAAGTGGTGGATGAGATGGGAGATTAGATCCTAACCGTTGGATCAAACTTGTTTCATAAGCTTCCTCCGAATTTACTTGGCCCACGTTTCTCCGGCTTTCTTTATGGCCTTTCGGAACTCAGAAAAATGTTCTATCTACTTTATAAATTCCCTTTAATTCTAGAGAATATCTATGAATTTTCTTAGGCCATAACACTTCCTTTAAACCTTGCATAAAAATTCATTTACCAAAATGCCCTTTTAGCGGCAAAACCGGCTCTTTAATTTCTTAAAGCCACTCTACTGGCCTTTTGGTTGTGGGACTAATTTTATAAATTAGTACAACCTTTCAACCATTTAACCTCATTTTTGTATACATTTTTGAGGTCTCTTGCTATTTTAAATAATTACCTCACATGGTATACTTTTTACTGGTAATAACCTCATAAATTCCGTTGAAGCTACCTCAGGGGTAGTTTCATCTTTTCTCTTCATAGAAGAGCCTTAGAATATTATTTCTAATTTTCTAGGATTTTCTTGAAATTCTCTGCGTACTCTTCCATTTTTACCCCTGTTGGTCATACCTTTCTGAACTTACAATTTAGTCCCTTCTTGGACTTAGCTTCATATAATCCTCTCTTTGAGGCTTCTAGCTTAACCTTTGGCCTGTATCTAGCCTCTTTTCTCTTTTTGGTCCTTCGAGACTTTACTGGAGCCTCTAACCTTAATTATACCCGAGCCCCTGAAAACTTTTACTTTGCAGTGTAGTCCCTGAAACTGCTTTAACTTCCTTTTTCATCTTCGGGACTTCTGCTCACAGGGGTCTAGTAACCTATTTAATTTAGGCTATTTCTGAAACTTCTAGGCCTAAAAGTCTGGATGTTACATTCCGACATCTGAACCTCATCGCTCACCGTCGAGTTCTCGTGCCCACCGCTCTTCTCTCTACTTTTCTCACTCGTCTCTCTGAGCGTTTCCTTTTCAAGTTGAAAACTTATTCAAAGTCCAGATACCCAATTTGAAAGATGGGCAAGCTTTGTTTTGCAACCCGTTGTCTGGCCCTACCTGGTAAAAGCCCTAACTATTTTGGGCTGGGTAAGGGTAGTCTTTTCTGTCAAATTTAATAACAACTTGCCCGTATCATATGTAGAAAAAAGAATTTAATTATCATGTTTTGAGACAAGTGAGAGAGAAAAATACTAATCACGAATAACTCAATCACTCATATATATATTTATATAAGACTTATATAGTCTTGTTCTTCAGCTTTCGATTTCTTATAAGAGGTAAAAAAAATTTAATAATTAAAATATTTAATAATTGATCTAATTTTGTAGTTTATTCATAGAGTTGATGGTTCTTATAGTTATGTGAAAGCACAAGATTTGAAAGGTAGTTTTATTTTATTTTTTGTTTTAAAAAATTGGAGGTAAGAGGAAAAGAAGGAAATTTGACTTGGAGTAATTTAGCATATTTAATCTTATATTTTAATAGTTGGTTCTTTTATATAATTATAATTTTTATGTTCTTTTCATTTTTTTTCTAATTTTAACTAATTTTTTTAGCCAAAATAAAGGGGATACTTGCTTAAAATAATATTACATTATATATAATTATATATTTTTTCGGAGCAGGACAGTATACCTTGCCCATGGCCCTGCCCTACCCATGAATCTGCCCGGCTAAAAAATACCCATTTTTATTGAGCAGCCTTTTGTTGGGCTGGGCATGACACTTTTTTTGTGGACTTGGACAGGTTTATTAGGCATGCGGGTCTCATGAACACCCCTATAGTTATCCATGAGGATCAGCACTGATTGTGACAGGTTACGTAAGAGATAATAATAATAAATTTATAGTAGAGTCATACTCATGCCTCCTTGCCAATGTTGCCGGGCGTGTCCAAAATCATTATTCAAAAATGAGTTTATTTATTATAATAATAGGTGGATAAAAATCACATTTAGAATTTTTAATAACAATAATCAGAAATACTATATATTAAGAGTAATAATATAATAATTTCAATAAGTATTAAATATATATTTTTTCATATATGCCCATATCCAATGAGGATAAGAAAAAAAAATAGAAATTAATATTATGATGTTAGAATTCAGACTAATTATTGAGGATAATATACCCCTCTGATCCTATTTATAAGGTATTTCCAGCATATTTCATACAGAACAAGAAAAATTTTAAAATGCATTAGCTCTTCATTGAAATATAACAAATTTTCAATTTTACCCTTATTTAATATATATATATATATCTTTCAAGAAAAAATAACTATCTAAACCATAATAAATAAAGGACAAAATAGTACATTGACGCTGAAAATTTAATAAAGAGCGTCTTATATATAGGACAAAAAAACCTTCTCTCTCTACCTTATAAATAGGACCAGAGTAGGAAAAATCTCTTAAATGTTATGACAAATTTAATGTGTATGAATTAATTAGTGAGTTCTTTTAATAAAGATAAGAGGAAGTAGTAAGTTTTTTTGGTCAAAAAGAGGAAGTAGTTAGTCGGGTAACTAGGAGATACAGGGTGAGCAAACTAAAGTGTCATAGGTGAGTCGAGTTGATCATTGAGTTATAAAAACTGGGTTACAAGTGAATTAAAAAAATAAAGAACTAAAAAATAAATTTTTTTGAAAATTATAATATAAATCGGTCTCATGACCAAAGTTTTACTCCTTTGATCTTATTTATAGGGCAAAAAGAGAAGATATTTTTTGGTCTTATTTATAGAGCACTGAGAAAATTTTTTTGTATGGATCTACAATTTTATTCTTCATTTATTATTGTGTTGATTTTCTTTACATGAGGTATAATATATATTAAATAGGAATAAAGTTAAAAAATTATTAAATTT